TTCCGCCGCGGGGCTCCCGCGCGCCCGAGGGTCATGGAGGGCCCCGGGTGCCGGGGGGGGTCCCGGCCGCCCCCACTTGCCTGCAGGAGCCCCCGCCGTCCCCGCGCCGGAACAGGGATGTTAATTAAAGTTGTTAATTAATTAATCCAGGAGGACCAGCCCCTCTGCACGGAAAAGGCAGCGACGGCCCCGCTGTCACGGAGGAGCCGGAGCTGCATCCCAAGGGAGGATCAGGGCTGGGCACAACGCACGGGCTGCTGCAGGACGCGGCACCTGTTCAGGGCTGCCTGTTCTAGAGAAGGTGCTTGGTCTTTTCTAAAACAGGCAAAACCAACCAACCAACCGGTACTAGTACCCAAAACTGATACCAAAAAAACAGTTATCACACTTTGACTTTTCCATAAACTGCAGCAGCTACGCCAAAGTGCACTGATGGGAACAGCAAAAGGCACCCAGAAAAGGGAGGGATTCAAAGTGATACATACTCCAAACTTGAAGTTTTTAGGAGTTAGATGTTATGAAGGCAATTTTACCATTGCTGCAAGCAGGGGGCTTTCAGTACGTTCACTAGTTCTTCAGTTACAGAAATACCAGAAGTGGCAAAGGTGAAAAGAAGCAGAATTGGCAACCCCAGGAAATACTCCTCAAAAAACCTGCCATTTAACTGCCCCTTTTCAAACCTGTTCTCCAATATTCAGTCATGCAGACGGGCTTCACAAGCAGAAAGGGACTCTGTTCCACCATTAAGATACTGCTTGTTTGGCTGTTTTTAGACTAAGATACTAAGGAGGAAAAACCCTCCTTTGTTCCTTCCACTGCCTACTCCATTGAAATACAGGAAAAGATTGAAATGAGGAAAAAAAAATCACTGTCTTTGTAGACAGTGAAATGCAGAGAGAGGGGAGCTTTGCCACTGCCCACTTAGCCCTTGCCTCTGGGCTGGCAGTCAGAGAAGTCAGTTCTCCCATTGTCAAAACAGGCGAGCACAGAACGGCAAAACTTTGTGCAGAAATGCAAACCACGGAGCAAAGTCGAGGCCTTATGAAACGAGGCAAAAACCACGACCGGGAACCCAGGACATGGCTCTGCCACTGAGGGAACGTGGCTTCAGCCACGTCACACCAGCTCTCCCCTCTGGTGCTGGACAGGGGCAGTCCTGCCTCTTCCACAGGAGCTTTACCAGCCCTTGGCCGCCTGCACTTAGAGTAGCTGTTGAGATCCTCAAATCACATTTCAGGCTGTTCCTCGGGCTACAGAGAACTCGGCATAGAATCACAGAATGCTTAAGGTTGGAAGGGACCTCTAGAGATCATCTAGTCCAACCCCTGCACACGCAGGGTCACCCAGAGCACGTGGCACAGGACTGCGTCCAGCGGGTTTGAAGATCTCCAGAGAAGGAGACTCCACAACCTCTCTGGGCAGCCTGTTCCAGGGCTCTGTCACCCTCACTGTTAAGAAATGTTTCCTTAAGTTCCTGTGGAATTTTTGATGCTTCAGTTTCCAGACGTTTCCTCTAGTCTTATCACTGGCCACTACTGAAAAGAGGCCAGCAGCATCCTCCTCACTGCCTCCCTTAAGTATTTATATACACCAATCAGGTCCCCTCTCAGCCTTCTCCAAGCTGAACAGCATCACTCACACTTTCTACCTTCTTCCTAATCATACTACTTTCACTCTAAATCACTATGCTAAAACTTTAAATACTGGTCTCCAATTTTAAAAAGTACTTGAACTCTTCTCTTTCTTAAAATCTTTTCTTAAAAACACAAAAATTCTGCCTTGAAAACTTGTTTTTGATATTACCTCATCTCGTAAAAGATGAGCTGCGTGGTTAATTTGTACACAAGGTCTAACCTAGCAGACGTGGCTCGGCTGTCCTTCCTCCTCTGGAGTGCTGCGGTTTGAGTCGCATCTACCGATTCCCTTGATTATTTTTGCACTGGCTTTAGAGATTCCAAGAGGTTTCTCCATGCAAAGCT